TTGTAATCACAAAATGTTGGCTATAAGTCAAGTTTAAACAAGTTTAAATGTATAAAAAGCAAGCTTTTAGCATAATAAATCAGAGCTCTCTACATCATCCTGGTGTGCAGACTCTCATTTTCGCCGACTTCGTCCCTCACCTGCTCTTCACCAAGAAACCCCTTGAGTTTCTTGTCACGACCGTAGTCGGGTGGTCGGTGACACAGGAGGAGATTGCCCCTCTTTCTCCAGCAGAGCATCTGGGTCATAGTGGATTTTTGGAAGTTGTAAATTACAGGTAAGAAGATTACCCATTTTTCTCCTGAAGAGCCACTGGTGGATTTGAATTGCCAGAGAGGCTCTTCCTTTGAGTTAGCAGCACATCTCCCCTATGGATGTAGCCACTTGTTGTATGCTGTCAACTATCACTCCCAGCAACCCTATAAAGAGTAGATCTGAACCCTGCCATATCCTGTGCCATCCTCACCATCTCCAACACATTTGAGCCCATTGTTACAGCCACTGCCTTAATCTATCTGTCTTGTTGAGGGTATTCTTCTTTTATACTGACCCTCCACCTTTCCAAATATGATGTCTTCTCCAATGACAGGCCCCTTCTAACAGCATACTAAACTATGTGAAATAAAGTTTTACCATTGTTGCCTCCAAAGAGCACCCTGGTTTCACTTTCTCCAGGACAGATCTATTTGTTCTCTTGGCAGTCCATAGAGTATTCAGGACTCTTCCGCAACTTAAAAGCATGGATGATTCTTCTTTTGTTCTTAGTTATTGTTCAATTTTCAGGTGCATAACAAGCAATTGAGAAGACCATTGCCTGAATCAGGTGCACCTTAGTCTTTCAATGGATATCATTGCTCTTTAGTATTCTGGAGAAGTCCCTGACAGTAGATGTTTCCAATGCCATACATCTTTTGATTTCTTGACTGCTGGTATCAAGTATGATGATTATGGATCCAAACAAGATGAAATAGTTGACAACTTTAATCTCTTCTGAATCTATCATGATATTGCTTATTGGTCTAGTGGTGAGGACTTTTGTTTTCTTGATGTTGAGATGTAATCCATATTGATTTTCTTCAGCAAGCACTTCAAGTCCTTCCCATTCTCTGCAAGCAGAATTGTGCCACCTGTTTAACACAGGTTCTTAATGAGTCTTCCTCTAATTCTGATGTCACGTTCTTATTCATAAATTCTTGCTTCTCAAATGATTTGTTCAGCATATAGATTGAATAGGTATAGAGAAAGAAGACAGACAGAAAGACTTACAGCTTTCATGATTTTAAATCCTGCAGGCATGTTGCCAGGAGAGGCCAGTCCCTGGAGAAGGACTTCAGGCTTGGAAGGATGGAGGGATACCCTAAGAGAGGAAGAACCTGGAGGAGATGGACTGACACAGTAACTGGGGTAAATGGGGTTACGTGTGTCAGAGATGGTGAAATTGGCTCAGGATAGGACAGGGTTCAGAGCTGCAGTGCATAGAGTTGCTGTGAGTTGCAGGTGAATCAATGGCACATGATGACAACAACAAAAGGGCTCCCTTGCTTTGTTCAAACAACAGCTTCTTGGTTTTTTTCCCCATTCTGTGTTCTGGGATTTCCATTCTTCCCAATGTTACCCATAATTTGGTGGATCCACACAGTCAGATGCATAGCCAATAAAACACAGGGAAATACCCTTTTAAATTCTCTACTTTCAGCCAAAATGGACTAAGCCACTAGAGCACACCACTTTTGGGTTAGAGGTCATGATATCAGCTTCACATTTCTTCTTCTACTCTCCTTTTCCAAGAAATAAGTACCTCACCCACTCCTCTCCTGGACTTTTGTGTGCCCTGTGACAGACTAGGGCAGAAGACATCGAGGTCCCTGGGGGACTGCCTCTTGCTACCATCTCTGCTGATATCCCCCTTTGGCCACCCTCAAATCCCTTTGGCCATCTTTACCCAGCCTTACTCTCAAGGGGTAGTCTCAGAGACAAGTTTGTGGAGGACCTTTGTGTTGAGTTCAAGGTGGATTCAGCCCCACTATGCTGGGGAGAAAGGAGTTAAAGTCAGGTCCCAGGATCACGGGGACCAGGAAGTTCCGGTGGTGGCCCAAGCACAAGTGGGATGGGGAGACCCACTGAAGAGGAGTTGGAACTCGGACTTGGAAGGAATGACAATGCCAGCTATGCCAATTTGAACATGTCTCCCCATTAGTGCTTGGTATCCTCTAGCAAGGCCGATCCCTCTCTACCCCTAGCAGATTTCTCCTCTGCAGAGCGGCGGCCCTCCTCGTAGGCTAGTCTGTGGCCAGCGCCCGGCCCCCGCCCAGGCCCCGAGGGGCGTGACTGCCTCCGGCCACCCTCCTATTGTCTTTGCAGAGCAGTGGAGGGGCTGCTAGGGGCGGGGCTGGGGCGGGCAG